TGTTGAGGCATTTCTCAACAGTTTTGAGTTAGTGCGTATATCCGTCGTTTCAGTAGGTCCAGTGTCCGTGTGGCTCCCTAACCGATTAATCCCGCGCGCCGTGTTGTCTGCCATGTGCTTATTGTGAGTCGTTCATCGTTTGGTAAGTGTTTGTTCTCTCTTAATTTTCATCTTGTTTTTTGTCTTCTATTCGCATTGTTTGTGAGCTAAATGTGCCTCGTTTGTTAGTGGTGTTATAAGTGTTTAACTTAATGTCTTTTTTCTAGGATTTTACTTTTCTGTGTGTAAAACCAATCGATTTGAACGCCGTAAACATTGTTGTGTAATAAACCTTCTACAAGTCTTTAAACTTTTTATGGCAAGAATATTTTTCCTTTAATTTTATTCTAAACTCTAATACATTTTGTTCTATATTCAAAATAGAATAAAATAAAAAGGAAACTCTTTAGATAAAATATGAGATTTTTTTGCGAATAATGTGGAGGGGGAAAATCACATCGAATAAATGTATGAGGTCATAGAATATAAGCGGCCAACCAAATGAGAAATGTAAGAGGAAAGACAAAGTACAGACAAGAAAGCTATATGGAATTTAGAAAATTATTTTTTAAATGCTGTCTCTGCTTTCAAATCATACAAATGAAATAGGATAAAATTGAATTGTTATGTTACAAAAATGGACTTAACAACATTCTTAAACATATGCATGAATTTTTTTGTATACAGCTATTTCAAAAAAGGTTGAATACTGAATACTGCATACTGAATAGTGCATTCCAAGACCAAAGGGCATTGTGGGTCTCGTTAATTCGAAATAAAAAGTAAATATACAGCAATTAACTCTCTACCTGTAGTTAGTATATTGTTTCAGATGGAATACGCTAAAAATAGAATAAATTATTATTAATGATCCTACTTTAGACAATGTCACTATGACCCACAATGCACTTCGATCTTGGAATACACTATTAAGTATACAGTAATGATAAAAAGGTAAATCATACACCATGAAAAGATGAAAAAACTTACTGACGTTTCGGACGCTAGTCCTTCGTCGGAGTAAAAGAGAAAGAGGTGGTAGAAAGGAGTGTTTATGTGATAGAGTAAGACAAAAGAATTGAACCAATGAGAGCAAGGTAGGCAAGGAAACAAAAACAAACAATCAAAAGACAAAAGAAAGGGTTAGTTGAAAGCAAAGCGTTCATTAATTCCGTTGGGACTAAGAGTGCCCAATAGGTGAATAAGGCCCCGACCACACGTATCCGGAAATTTTTGTATCCGCAAATCTTTTTTTTACGGATAGGGGTTGCGTCCACACGTGCCCGCAAATTTTTGTGACCGTATCCGCAAATTTTACGAAAACGGACACGTGTGGACGGTGAAAACGATTCGAATACGCTTCGTGTGGACGCAAACATTTTCGTATCCTCAAAAAAATTTTTACGGATAAAAACATTTCTGGATACGTGTGGACGGGTCCTAAGCCGCATTTCTTTGGTTTTCAGTATGCAGTATGCAGTATTCAACCTCTTTTGAAATAGCTGTATCCAGATTTAAATCAATAAAAAKATTTCAAATTCAAGATGAATTTTGATGTATTGGAATTGCACGGTATATTTTCGTGAAAACATTTCTGCATGATCCGTGATTCGTTTGTACTGAATCGTCTCGTTTCGTGAGAATTCTAACCGCTATAATTTGCGAAGTTGAGAAGTTGAGATCGCTGCAATTAACAATTTATAATGTCAGTGACCGACTCTTACATGAGCAAAGCCATATAAAAACGTCTTTTACACGGTTCTTTAAGCATAATTTTCCGTTTCTGCGGATATGTAAGGAAATGAATAAATGCTAATCTCGTAAAACAGGAGAATTTCTCTAATTCTCTATTTTAGCTTTTTAATATAACTTCAGTAAAAGACTGTTTTATATTTAAAGAGGAGAATAATCGATTTTATGAATTCTTATCGAAAAAAATTCATAGCATGGCATGATAATACTCGTGTTCTGGTATCGTGATCCGTCAAGTTCCTTAAATTTGGATGCGCACGCAACCTTGAGAAAACGGTCTAATATGTCTATTACGTTGATATGTCTATTCATTTGTTATCTTCTTTCAGTTTATTTTTGCCTGAAAGCTGCAACACAAATTCATCGATTCGGTGTTCGTGTTCTGTGTCAAGTCTTTGGGCAATTAACCTTAATAGATGCTTTGTCAGTTGTCGTATTCCTACTTATATACTGGTAAAGCTTATCTATAAAGCAACGAAAGAAAAAGTTCCACTTTTAGGACATCCCTCCCTCCCTCCCTCCCTCCATCCATCCATTTCTTTCTCTGATAACTGTCAAAAAACTCCATTGTTTTGATCAGCTCCACTAGAATCCTCTCCAAATAGTTTTGTGGTCACTGCGAATGATCTATAGCGTCAGTCAACCTGACATAGCTTTATGTTTCTATTTAAAAAAACATTTTTGACGTTAATATGTGACAGCCTATATATTATATCGAAAACAAACCTGTTCAAAAACACCTGCTCCGTTAATATTAGATAGCATACTTGACCTAAAGGTATGCCTTGACAAAATGTAAATTTTAAAACTAACGAATTCATCTATAGCTATTATCTTGATACAAATATCAGACCGTTAATATTTATATCAGTAATCTTCAACTGTTGACCACCTGAGCGGTCTAGTGAGTAACCGATATATTTTACTACGTGGAAAAATACTCTATATTGATAATACTCGATAACTGGGGTCATTATAGAAAAGCGAGCAGTTTGATTGATGTATTCTTTGGGTAAAATTCTTTCTTAATTTCCTGTTATTTTCTTCAAAAAAGTTCCATAATCTTTCTCGGAAGATACTCCGCAAATCTCGAGCCTTATTAGAGAAAGTTAATGGTGCTTCTGAGAGGTAAAGTAGATACTCCTAGAGATTTTTAGTGAAGATATGGAATCTCTCCCACCACTCATTATGGACAATAAAAAGCAATTAAATGTAAGCGCCTCAAATGACTCGTAATATTACATGATTTATACCAGACAAAATATGAGATATCGCATGGTGTTAAATAAGTTTGCATGAGGTGTTTTGTCGCTTACTGTCGCTCAGTGGAACAGATAAAACAGGGTGGATCCACTAATCACTTGCCTTGATTGAAGTAGGAAAAAAACACTTACAAAGATTTGACCATTGAAGCTCAGGTTCAGTATATATTAAGGTAACAGTCCGCATGCAACATTTTACTTTGCTAAAACAAAGTAACGAAAGAAAACGCTCGTTTGGCAGAAAAAAGCCCTTGCATATAGAATATATTAAATGTGGTCATACTCTTGCGCGTTGCGCTGTAAGTCTTATAGAATGAAATATATTTAGGGTTTCAGTCGTTTTGAAGTGATTCTGATTTCAGTGCGCATGTTCCGTTGAGAACTAGAATCCTGCATTTCAGAAGTGGCATTTGAAGATTTTGATGCGGATTTTTGCATCGTGTTTTTGTTATAATATTACATTTTGAACGCCAAGAAAAACGCCGAAAATAGATTTCATTCGTGCTTTGTGAAAACTCTAGGAACAAACTTTTAGTAACGAAAACTCATGACACTGATTTTTCACAATTTGACTGAATAGACCATTAAACAAGAAACGCAAAGATTTTGGGTAAAAAGTATTCAACTTAAATTTATTTCCAAAAATGATAATATCATTGAGAACGAAGAAGGGAACTAGAATGCATATAATAATATTGGGAGGTGTTATATATATAGCGCATTTCACATTAAGCCTGTAATTAATTAGGTTATCTAATTTAGACTTTTCTTTTTCTATTTCTACTGAAGTAATTATCTGTACTCAAAAGTGTTTTAGGAATGAGAGCACGCTCTCGTAATATCATTGGAAAGGTTCGTATTCTTTTGATTTTCTTATGAAACATTTGTTAAGTGACATAGTAATTTTCTTGTTTTGTCAAAGTTTTAATTGTCATTGACATCCATTATGTTGCATGTCTTCTGTATTCAAAGATGTTAGGAATAAAGAAGCTGACAGAAATGACTAGTTAGCTGGGGTGGCGTGATGTGGTATGACAGATCATGTTGTTCTTTCACTGATGTGATTTACTAATAAGCTTTTAAAAGATTTGAATAGATTATTAGGGCAATAATACAATAGTTGGAAGAAGGGGGAAAAATTTGAACTGTTTTAAAGATGTAAATGTTCTCACGAGCAAATATTTACCGGAGAAAACAGTTCCAAGCTCTTTTACCATCTCTTTCTTTGAAAAAAAATTTTAATTGTTACTTTCATTTTTAAGCTGTCAGGTATATATTAAAATAAACACAAAAGGTTTGAAACGGTAAAGCATTATAATAGCTAACATACATGATCTTGCAAAATATTACTTTTATCTTTTCCTCCCTTTTTGGTTTCTTTCTAAGATGTCGTCTTTATTTTTAAATTTCTGAATAGATATTCCGTTACATAACAATAATTAAATAAATATCAATAAATTATAAATAAAGCGGTCAGGTGTATAGCAGTTTTAAGCGATCAGGTACACCAATTTGCAAGAACATTGACATACGAAAATAGAACATTAGTGATTTAGTGGGATAGGAATTATATTAAGAAACAAAAGAAGATCACTGAAGCTGAACTTTTTCTTTTGTCTTTTAATGTATTACTTTCTCACTAAATTACTAATGTTCTATTTTCGTATGTCAACGTTCTTGCAAGTAGGTGTAAATAGTACGTAAAATAAACACAAACGTTTGAAATGGGAAAGCATTATAATAGCAAACATGCATAATCTTGTCAAAAGATTCCTTCTATATTTTCCCTTCTTTTTGATTTCTTTCTAAGATGTAGTCTTTATTTTTAAACTTCTGAGTATACACCTAATTCAAAAAAAGTTGTCATCGCCAAAGGCGATAAGCGATAGGTCATTCCGACATGGAAATGGTTTCGTTGAATACAAAGAACATTGAATCAGTCTCAGCACTAAGGTCCATACTCTTGACGAGAAGAAGAAGAAGAAACACAAGTCATTCCAGCTATTCTTGGATCTTGGAATGACATATATCCTATCGCTTTTCGCCTATCGCCTATTGCCTATCGCCTTTGGCGATGACAACGTTTTTTGAATTAAGTGTATACTCAGAAGTTTTAACAATAGCAATAAAATAAATATCAATAGATTATGAATATATGAATATTCAAGATACTTGAGACTGTTTTTCTCTGAGATTTTTAAAAATTGCTAGCATAGAAACTTTACATAATTAATTCGATTGAATCTTTCTTCTTGGAATGATTCATCCTCAAGAACCACTCGAGCTATTCAACTCACCATAACAATACAAACACCATAAAGGACACCTTAAAAGTGTACAAATTAGCATATGAAAAGTATACCACGTATCATCTCATCCCTAGTAGGTAATTGCTTTGGTGTGGCATAATAATAATTGGTCCATCACATGCTGTGTACGTCAGAGCCGGTGAAAAATCGTGAAAAATCGCAGAATCACCCTATGCTTGTTTTCAGCATTTGTGTACAGTTCTCTTTCGTTCTTGGCTTCACATGTACATAGTTGTACAAAGGTGAACACCCATAAAGACTTTTCTTCTGTTGTGTTTTCCATGCTTAAGTCCAAAATAACGGCCCGTTTATTCTAGAAACCCTTAGGCTGAATTTCTTGTTTCATTCCTTTTGTAGGTCGATTCTTTTGATCGAAAAAAAATCAGTTTCTAGACAAGAAAGGATGCCATCAACAAAGTGGGTTGTGTCTGTAGTAATCCTATCTTTCTCTGCGAATCTTTTATTGAAATCCTCTGGCGAAGCAATAACACCATCTAATAAGTAAGTCCTATAATCCTAGTAACGGTTCATACCTAGTTTAATTCTTCTAAAGTGCATATCAGGGTTTGCTGTTTTTCATTTTATACGAAAGTTCTCACCCTTAAAATCATATAATCAACAAAAATTATTTGATTGTGTTACGATTTATTTATTTACTTATTTATCTTTTGGATCAAATTTTTGGAAGAGCATTGAGATTACGAGCGCTGTGGAAGTCCAAACAACGTAAATTTGCAACCGCGTTTCTCAGTGTTTCTAACCATACACTGAATTTTGTTTCAAACTGAGGTATCAAACATAAATAAAAAAAGAAGATATATAAATTATCGGTACTGCAGTCTAAATAACACAGTTTTGAGAATTTTCATCAAAAATAATAAAGGCTATCTGCTTTAAAGTAGCCAAGTAAAGTAAAATACATGGAAGCTGTCTGTAATTAATAGAGGGTCACGTTTTGCAATTTTGAGTAATTCTTTTCATGTGCTTGTTGTAATCTGTGCATGTTTTGACTGACACCCGGAGTGTTAGTATAAAAGAGAACTTCTACCACATTGGACGTCGTCTTCTACCCTACAGTGCAAGCAATGTAAAGGACGTGTAAATTAAATTAAGTTTAGGAGTTTTTTTACGTGCTTTTTTTTTTTTTTTTTTTCCACGCTCTAAAACTAGTAGAGGCGCGAGATGATTTTCAGAACCGATCAAAAAGACGAAAGTGTATTAAAAAACACAGATTTCCAGGAAGAATTGTGTGATTTTTGAATTTCTTACCAAAAAATTACCCCGTGGCAAAAAAAAA